AAAATTTTAACAATACTATTAGACAATTGCACTCCATCCTACAGGGTCTCTGTGAGTTACAATCAACGTGTTGGTAGGTTTTTATCAGATTCTTAAAGGAAAGTATGAGATCTCCCATGATCCCATCCATATTAAATTTGTTGTTGTTGTTGATTGCCACTGAGTAGAGGTCAACTCATAGCGACTCTATGAACAAAAGACCTACTGCCTTTCCATAACTGTCATCATTTCACCAAGTTCATAGAGTTTCCAGAGGCATGTGGTTTATAAAGTGGATGCCACTCCTGCTTACCAGTCTGTTTTACAACTGGGAGCTCCACCAAACACTGTCCACAATGGGAAACCATTCTAGTATTTGATATCCCCGTGGCACAAGGTTCAGCATCACAGCAAACCCAGGTCACCTCATATAGCACGTTGACAAAGAGTGATGTGCAAAGTGGAAGAATGTTCCTGCAGATAGAACAGCACTAGTCTCATTTAGCAGTGCTTAAGTGTGGTTGAGTCAAATATGACTCAGAGTAAGCTTTTTTAAATTGTGGTAAATACCTTTGTTAAACAAAAAAAATTTGCCCTTCCAGGATTTTCACGTGAACGATTAGTGACATTCATTGTGTTACTCAGGTTGTTGAGCGATTGTGTCTGCTTTCAGATTTTCCCATCACCCTGAACAGACCTTCAGCGCCCTCTGACCCGGGATCCTCCTGCTCCCTTAAGTTGACTCCCAGCCCTGATTCCAGCCACTGCTTTCATCTGTGCTCCATGAGAGTTACATGCATTTTTCTCAGAAATTACTAAATTAAATTATATTTAATAATTGGAATAAGACAAACCCCCCAAAGGAATCAGAAGATAGTACTCTGAGAACAGTCCCATTTCTGGTTACTTTAAATGAAAGTCTGTTCTCTCCTCATTTGAAGTTCCATGGGATTATTATGTATGTGTTTTTTGCACTGATGACAGTGCACCCTGCTCAGGGCAAAAACTTTAAGGGTCTCGATTTGACAAAGGAGACGTTGAGATGCAGAGGATAGTCTCTGGCTGAGAGGAGGGTCCTTTTCTGTTTCCTCACATGCCGTTTTGTATCTAAGTCACTTACACACTCAGCTTTTCATTCCTGATAGACTGAAATGGTAAAGACAACATGTTACTACTGGTGAGAGATGGGGAGACGTGAAGGACTAGTTCCATCTCTGATCGTGAGAGTAGGCGACTGAGGACACATTTAGGAGCCATCCCAGGCCGGGAGCGAGGTTTGAGCAGTTCAGACAAGTGCTTGGTGCATCCCTGGCCGAGGCTGGTGAGAATGAGACTTGAAGGAAAGAGCACATCAGCCTTGGGTGGAAAACGAGCATTGCTGATGTTTAAGGCTCTGGGCCTGCTTTGGGGAACCCAGCCTCACAGCTCCATTGAATAAAGCGGGTTCTCAGTGGGTCCGCAGCCCCAGGTGGTCCCACCTTCTGCAGACTCTGACCAGACCTGCTATCCCTTCTTTTTCCTTTCAGTGCTACAAATCCTCCAAGGACCACAACCCACAGCTGGACGTGAACTTGCTGGGCAGCAGCGTCATCCACAAGGAGAAGCAAGTGCGGAAGAAGGAGCACAAGTTGAAGATCACGCCCATGAACGCCGACGTCATTGTGCTGGGCCTGCAGAGCAAAGACCAGGCGGAGCAGTGGCTCCGGGTAAGGGAGTTGCTGGGCCCTAGGGGCAGCAGGGCCTGCTTCCTTCCTGGCCCTCCAGCTCTCATAAGCCCATTCGCTGTTGAGTTGATTGAGATCCATGGTTGACACCACTTGTGTGGAGAAGAACTGCGCTTCAAACGGTCTGCAGTGGCTGGTTTTGGGGAAGTAGATGGTCAGGTGGGTTTCTTTTATGCCATCTCTGGTGGGTTTGAGCAACCAACCTTCTGGCTAACAGTCAAATATATTAATCATTTGTGTTACCACCCACCAACAAGGGAGCTCTGGTGACCCAGCAGTGAGGAGATGCACTGCCGGCCCCAAGGTACACTGTTCAGATCCACCAGCTAGATGGACAGTCTCCTCCATTGTCATTTATAGCCTTTGAAAACCTGCTGGAGGGTCAGCTATGAGTTGGTTCTGATTTGACAACACATCAAAAACCACCAATGATCATAAACCTTTTTCAAAAGGGCCTGGGGGATGTTGGAAAGGTTGGAAAGCTTCAACCTTCAAATTTCAGAAACTGTTCTTAGTGGTAACAGTCTCATTTATGGAAATCTGACAGCAACACAGTGACCTCCCTTGGTTTCTCAGTTAAAGGCCTTTGCCAGTCTTGCCTCTAGGGAGGCATCCTGATTCTCTGTATTTGAAGAGTGGCCTTTGCTGTGACTTTGTAAGCCCTTACCACAGGTCATAGACTGTTAGCAACTTGAACTCAACTAGTTATATTAGCGGAGCTCTGGTGGCTTTGTGGGTAAGGAGCTGTGCTGCGAACCCAAAGGCAGGTGGTTTGAATCCACCAGCTGCTCTGCTGGGTTGTGGGGGGGCAGGGGGAGGTGGACCATTTCCTATTGTGTGAGTCACGGACTTTGAAAAGCTGCTGGAAGGTCAGGTATGAGTCAGTTCCAACCTAATGGTATGCAACAAAAACAGCCACATTAGAAGGAGCGCAGATGACGTGGTCTACGAACCCACGGCCACACCTCCCTAGTGGTTTAAACCCAGCAGCTCTGAGGGAGATGGGTAGTCTACTCTCATGCAATTTAGAGCCTCAGAAGTCAATAGATGGCCACCTATCAGCTGGTTCTGACTTGACAACAGTGGAAGTCTGAGGACCACACTGGGGGAAAGGGGGGGGGGCGGTCAATGGCAATGTCCCCATGTTATAGGTTAAGGCTCAGAGGAGGGAGGCGATTTGCTCAAGGTCACTTGGAAAATGAGGCTGTGTTTCCAACGCAGCGCTGTCTGACCACAACCACAAGTGCACAGGATGACAGCGGTGCTGCGTCTGGGGAGGGAGCTTGCTGACCACATACGTGTTAGAGAGGAGCTTGACAGTTCAGGGAGGTACAAAGTTTGCACCAAGAAAGTCCTGGAAAGACTTGAGCAGCCAGCAGGGCTCCTGGCGAGGCCCTTGAGGGCCAGAGAGGCCCCTTTCCTCCTTCCTGCTGCCCCTTCCGTTATATCTGCCAGGTGCTTGTGGTCGAAGGATCATCAGGGAGGGTGCTGGCTGCAGAAGGCTGTTGTCGGTGCCGTCAAATTGATTCTGGCTCAAAGTGAGCCCGTCTGGCCAAGTAGAACTGCCCCTTAGTGCTTATACTGTAATCTTTACACAGACATCACTAGGCCTTCCTCCTCCAGAGCCGCTGGAGGGGTTCAGACCTCCAGCCTTTATGTTAAAAACCAAGCGTTTAACCATCACATCACCAAGTCTCCTTTTCTGGAAGGTCTACCCTGGACATTTATGAGTACAGGCTCTAGGTTTGAATCCTGGCTCTAGCCTTTTTCAGCGAAGTGGCCTAGCTTTGTTCCTTAATGTATGTATGTATGTATGTATGTATGTGTGTGTGTGCGCGTGCGCACACCAGTGCCAGTGCTTAAAACTTGCCTAGTGTTGACGAGAGGCTGGAGGCTTCTCTAAACTGACAAGCTAAACAGAACCAGGGCTGCTGGTTTCGTTTTCATTCCTTTCTCCTGCTCAGATCCCCTGCCCTAGTTTCAGCTAACACGTCCCTTACTCCCATCTCTCTCTCTCTCTCTCACACATACACACACACACACACTCTCTTTCTCTCTGAGTGTCTCTGTCTCTCTCTCACTCCCCCCCCACTCTCACACACTCACTCTATCACACACACTCTCTCTGTGTGTGTCTCTCACACTCTCCCTCTGTGTCTCTCTCTCACACATACACACTCTCTCTGTCTCTCTCTTTCTCTCTGTGTGTCTGTCTGTCCCTATCTCTCTCTCACCGCCCCCCTTCTTGCTCCTGGCTCCCAGCACTGTTCCTCTGACTGCTCAGATCCCCCTCCTGCTCCTGACCCCAGCTTCTCTCCCACACTCCCATGCCCTCTCCCTGAAACGCCTCGCCCCCACAGCCCCTGCTGATGGTTTCAAGGACAAGCAGGCTTTCTGTCAGCAGGCCGGGCCTTGGTCTGGCTGCACAGAGAGACCCTGTTCCTGCTCGATGAACTGCAGAGGTAGGCTGGCCCAGCAGGGCTCTGCCAGTGAGCTCACAGCCTGGCTGGCCTCTCAGGTGGACACCGGCCATGCAGCATGGGCCTCACTAAACCAGCCTCCTATTCCAACCCTCAGACGAGCAGTGACACCCTCCCACAAGTTGCGATGCAGAGTACGGTGGGAGATGGGGGTGCTGAGGCAGGAACAAGGGCCCCAGTAAAGGAAAGGGCAAGGCAGAGCTTTCCTGGGGGAGGCCCTTGTGCCTGGATGGTTGGGCAGGGACATCCTAATAAGGACTGGTGCCCTGTGCTCAGCACTTCCCATGTGTGAGACCCACAGTGGGCCTGTGACATAGCTAGGAGCCCATCTCACAGATCAGGAGACTGAGGCTTACGTCCATAGTCACCAAGTGGCATAGTGGTGTTTCCAAGGCTCTGTGTCACTTACTAGATGTGGACACAGGTCCCTAACAGGATCTGATGCTTTCCTGAGCTTCTCCTTCATCCACAGCCATGTATCCTTTTGGTTATGAATCTGATTTTAAATCCATGTCCATAAACTTTGCTAGGCAGATACTAAGAGGGTCTCTGAAGTGGCTCTGGTGACTGTGCCAAGGGTTCCAGAGGGTTCGTGAGGTGTCACCTTAGCCAGCATTCTCAGGACATCCCAGAGGTGGCCGTTAGCCGCTGCCATGTGTGTTCACAGTCCTAACCATCTGTGTGTCCCCCTTCTCAGCCCGGCCCCGGGAGACAAAGGCTCCCCCCAGAGCAGGGTGAGGTGATGGTGGTGTCCACTCTGGGCCCTCAAGGTTGGACAGGAGCAGCTTAGCATCTTAGGTAGCATGGATGCACATAGCACGCTGGGCCCTGGCACCACCACTCTGGGGTGCAAAACCATGGAACCGTCTGGAAACTGCGGGTGATTATGTGGCGGCAGTGAAGCAGCTGCCCTGCCCAGTGCAATGCCAGCCAGGGACTCAGGGGCAGCTCCTGGAGCAGGGGCCACGGTTCAGGTCACCTTTGGACTGGCTGCAAAGGCCTTGTCCCCAGAACCCCTCGTGGGGTCTCCCGACTGGTGGCTGCCCCAGTGGGCTCTGAGATGACATGTCATCACATGGTGGGTGATTTCTCTGCTCCCTGAAAATGAGGCCTCACCTTCCTCACCTCCTCCTCCCCTGACCCTCTGCTCTCCCACCAGGTCATCCAGGAGGTGAGCGGCCTGCCTGCCGAGGGAGCATCTGAGGGGAACCACTGCGTCCCAGACGCTCAGCGCCCAAACTGTCAGAAAGTAAGAGAGAGAGAGAGTGTGTGTGAGTGTCCCTCCCCATCCTAGGAGGAGACTGCAACTCTGCTTTTTATCCTGCAAAATTCAAAGTGTAAAACCAGGAGCAGGGATTTTGCATTTCAAATGCATGAATAAACATACAATGCTCGGATGAGGACATCAGCTTTGCAGGAAAACATGAAGTGGACACAGACCTTGTGAGAGCTTTATGGGCGCCAAGGTGACAGTGCCCACTTGCCAAGGCAGGAAGACTGACTCAGGGAGCCTGTTCTCACTCCCTCCCCTGAGTGGAGGTCTTCTGGCGGTGGTCTCCCAATGCTGGTGTTGATCCCAATAAAGGGACAAGGTGGGTGAGGTGCTAACCAAGGGACTGGCCATCTCCTGTGGGGTCACAGTGATGTCCCCAGGTCACTGCAGGTCCGTATCCTGGGCCTGGACTTGCACAGAGCATCCAGGCGTCCTGTGATCCTTTCCTGGCAGGGGGCAGGCCCTATGTTCTTGGAGGACAAAGGCCACCCTCCGTGGAGAAACGCCCTGGCCTTTCAGAGGGACCAGTGGGTAGTCTAGTTGTATTACTCACTGCTTGATTGCCGACAAGAAAACTGAAATCAGAGTGAACTTGGGTTTCTTGTGCGTTGGGGTGAGCAAGACTCCACTGACTGTCCAGGCAGCTTCAGTCTCTGGTCCCTGCCTGTCCGGTGGATTGGTATCCCATCAGGCTTAGCGTAGGTGGTTCTCTAGAAGCAGCTTGATAGGAAGCACCCAGATCCTTCAGGTTCTAACAGCAGCAATATTTAGGGGCCACTGTAGTCCCTTTAAGAACCCCATGAGTGCAGATGGGGCTGTCAGCTCCGGTTTAGACTCTGGGAATAGGGCTCTAAGCAGCTCTGAATAAGCTGGAGAATGCGTGAGTTGTGATCGGAGTGGTGGCCTGACATCAGGTAACACAGTCAGTTCTCAGCCCAAGATTGGTGGTCCCCAACTCCACAGTGCTCTTCAGTTGAGAGGCAGAACTGAATGCCTTTCTGGGGATGCCTACCTGCCCTTTTTACTGTCACACGGACAGCTGCCTCGTCAGGCTCCCACTTTGAGAACCTGTGAATGAGCCTGGGCGGTAGCTTGAAAAGGGGAAGGTGCTTTGGGGCTGAGCAGAGAAGGCCACTAAAGAGGCTTGGCTAACGTCCCTCCAGACTCCTCCAGGTGGAGTGACAGGACTGGTCAGGTTGACTCTGGCCTACACCCAAGACCCAGCTACTGTTTCCCCCACATTGTGGTCCTTGAGGTAACCGTTCCCAGCCAGTGATCACCGCAGGCGTCTCTTTCTCCCCCAGATGGATATTGCTGAGAAGTACCTGTCGGCCTCCGAGTTCATCGGCTCCACAGACAGCCACCTTGAGGTCCCGGAGATCAAAGACGGTAACAGCTCTGTGCTGGGCCTCCTGGTCTGGGAGGGTGGGAGTGCTGGTGTGAAGCTTGTCTGTCTGACTCAAGTTTCAGCACCAGATTGTACCACAGTCTTCAAGTGAAAAAACTCTTAGAAATAGCTGATCTCAAGATGGTGCTCAGCAGCGGTTCCAATGGCTGGCTTTTCAGTAGATCACAGGTCTTTCCTATTAGATGCCTTGGGTAGGTTTCAAGAGCATTAACATTTGCACCATCACAGGATCCCCCTACAGCTGATAAAAAACTCAAACTCACTGCCACTGAGTTGATTCTAACACAGAGCATTTGCCTCCACTGGGTTTCAGAGGCTTGAAATCTTACCAGGAGGAAAATGCCCAGTTTTCGGTAGAGGAGGTCCTGATGGAGTCACACCACCAGAGAGACACCTCTGGGTTAACGCTGTTCACACACCACAGACTACAGCTGACAGGACCAGAAGAAGGGAGAAGTGGCCAAATTAACAGTACAGCTCAGAAAATACTGAGGATGTTGTTGTTGGTGATTGCTGTCGAGTTGAGCACGGCTCTGAGCGACCCTATGAACAAAATACCTGAAGCCTTTCTCTAACTATCGTCATTTCTCGAAGTTCATAGAGTTTCCAGAGGCTTGTGGTTTAGGAAGTGGATGCCACTCGTGCTTCCAAACCTGTCCTAAAACTAGGAGCTCCACAAACACTGTCCAACATGGGCAACCGTGATGGCATTTGACACCCCAGTGGCACAAGGTTCAACATCACAGCAACCCCGGGTTACCTCAGTACAGCAAATTGACAGAAGAGTGCTGTACCACTTAGCAGAATGTTCCTCCAAAGTGTTCTGTTCTGTTCTTTTCTTCTTTGTACATCCTCTTTGAAATCTTTTACAACTGATCAAGAATCACAAGGGCTTACATACTATATAAGAGAGAGCTGGTATCTCCTTTGAATTTGTTACTCTGAGAGAGCAACAGACACCAACAATAGACACCTCACTGACTCCTTAATGGGTCTCACTGGTCCCCATCTCTGAAGCTCTGGCTCTGGTTGGGGCACGTGAATTGAGGAGCAGAGGGGTGTGAATGTGCGTGTGCACACGCATGTGTAAGGGCGGCATTAAGGGAACACGCTGCCCTGCTCCTCTCCACTCCCCACAGTGCTGACCGATGTCCCCTCTTCCTGACAGTCAAGAAGAAAAGCTCTGCCGGCCTCAAACTGAGCCACCTGATGAACCTGGGCAGGAAGAAGTCCACCTCGCTGGAGCCCGCTGAGCGGTCCCTGGAGGCCTGCAGTAAGAACCGTGGCCGCCTGGCAGAAGGCGAGGTCGGCTGGCCGGGGCCCAGTGTTAGGTCTGGCTCCAAGCCTCTCCAGGACCGACAGCTGACAGACGCCTGGTATCTGATGTCTTCGCTGCACCGGTTCTCCGTGCCCAGCCAGGCTGTCCTGCGGCAGTACAGGGCTCTTGACGGAAGTGAAGGGTTGGGCTGAGGAGAGTGTGTGGAGCAGGACAGATACAGGGTCAGGTGCCACGGAGACCAGGCAGGGGGAAGACAGCCCCAAGAGCTTTCAGCCCAGGGGAGGCGACAGTTTCCTATTGTATTTATAAAAACTCAGACAAAAGAACCTCTCATGCTTTTCTGTGGTCACATAGCTCCGAGGCCAGAGGTGGCTTGGTGGATGGTGGTGGCTAAGTGGGCTGGGTGGTGCTGTGGGGAGCAGCAGAGATTCAGAGATGGGAACCAGTGAGACCCATTAAGGAGCCGGTGAGGTGTCTGTGGCTGGTATCAAGGTGAATGTGGAAGCTGACATCAGGGGGACAGGGCATCCCCACTGTCCTCCAGTCACACCTGAGGAAGCTGAGGTCAAGAGGAGAAAAGTCTTTTCACTGAAAACGTTCCTGAGGGAAGGGCTGAGCCTTCCTGCTGTATCTCCCGGGGCCCGAGGGCCAGTCCTGTCCACCCTCAGGTCTCCTGCGCATGGTGCTCTGGTCAACTCCCTAGGTTCACTGCAAAGCCCCACCCGAGCTGTTAAATGAAGGAGGAGGGTGTCCAGGGTTGGATGGGAGGGCCACAGACGGGCTGTGCAGCCTCACAGAGGGCACGGGGCTTGGGCCCAGTGACTCAGTGTTTGGGAGCCGAAGCTAAGCTAGTGCTGGGAGTTTCCTCAGCAGCTAAGCATGCCCCATCACCTGTGGCGATGGTGGGGTGTGGGGCTGGCGGGTGGGGGCTGGGAGCGAGGATGAGAGGCGCACTCTCTTTCCCAGGACTTGAGGCTTGGGATCAGAGCACCCGGTCTCACTGCACCCAGAATTCCCCTTGACCCTGAGCACAGTGATGGCGTGTCTCGCCTTTAAGAGCGTGGCCCAGTCAGGCTTGCCCTTAACTCCTTTCTCACTTTGCTGTGATCGTGTGGCTCTCAGAAATGTGCAGTCCCCACTGTGTGTCTGCTGCAGGACTGGGTGAGCAGGTGGCCGTAACATTTTCACACAGTGGCACGTCTGGTTAATGCTGACCAAGGCGCTGAGACACTGCCAGGCCGTTGGCATAGACACTGTCCAGTAATGCCGCAGGAAGGTGTGGACACTGGTCAATGTCAGATCATTGTGCATGGAGTGCAACTGGCCTGGTCTTTTCTCATTGTTGGGTCCCAAACAGTGCAGACCAAGGCTGCACTCGGTGTGTGGTGTCAGCTCAGCAAATGTCATCTACAGCTGGAGAGGCGCTCCTGCCCCAAGGCCATCTGAGAGCAGGGAGGAGGCAATGTGGTGCATTCTGAGCTGGCAGCAGACAGAGCCTCAGGGCACAGACCGTGGGCACAGGGCATGACAGGCATAGGGCCTGCTCTGTGGCCTCCTGGCAAGGGCAGCAGGGAGCCAGGAGCCAAGTGAGCTGACAAAAGGTTGAACACAAGACCAGGAAGGGCCACAGGCCCTCAGGAGGAAAGGAGGAGACAGCACTGGCCCTGAAAGGCCACCGCAGGTGGAGGTGAGGCCGACCAGGAGTGGGAGGACTCCAGGGGGGTAGAGATACCCGAGTGTGGAGGCTGAGGAGCTTGCTGCAAGCAGCCCTGTGCTGCGGGGCACCTTCTGTCACAATGGCCTAACTGACAGGTCTGGAGGGCCGCCGTGCACCAGGACCTGAGAGGCTTGATGCTGAGGCTTGGAGCTGTGGATTCCTCGTCCTCCCCACCCACAGGGGATCTCTGCTCAGAGACCCCCTCCCGTCCTCTGGCTGCCCCCTGCCCTATAACCAGAACAGCTATGTCCCCGAGGGAGTGGCATGGGCCTCCGCCTGGGCCTCCTGCAGCTGCAGCCCTCCCCATGCAGGTTACCTGAACGTCCTGGTCAACAGCCAGCGGAGGCCACGCTGGTGCTGCGTCAAGGACAGCCACCTGCACTTCTACCAGGACCGGAACCGGAGCAAGGCCGCGCAGCAGCCCCTCTGCCTGCTGGGCTGTGAGGTGGTCCCAGACCCCAGCCCTGAGCACCTCTACTCCTTCCGAATTCTCCACAACGGGGAGGAGCTGGTCAAACTGGAGGTACTGCTGTGTGTGTGTGTCTGTCTGGGATGACCCCAAGGACTGCAGTCCTTCCTATGGCCTCTTTGCAAGCTGCTTTCACTTGCTGGGGCCTGAGACTGTTGGCATTTCTTAAGTTTCCACCCTCTTTGTGACATCAGTACGGCTGTGTGATCAGTGGGGACAGTGAGCTGCTTCCTGCAGTTGGGGCTGGAGGAATATTAACTCCCTGCACAAGCGCACAAGGCTTGTGCAGGAGGAGTCTCGTTTAGTGCAGGCTTCACGTAGGAACCTCCATGCTCAGCAGATTAAAATGCTGGTTGGAGTTGATCTGGGGAGGAATTAGGTTTGCCATACAATTTCCTTTCTCACTCCCATCCTCCAATGTTATGTTTACAAAAACAAGAAATGACACTGCAAAATGACATTTACGAAAAAGAAAAGCATGGGGCAGGCTAGATAGAGCCCAGTGCCAGATTAAATGTGCATAAACACACCGTGTTTTATGCCAGTAAATTTCATCCAGGGGTCGGTCTCCATCCAAATTATGTTCCGATGTTGCCCTCTGCTGGTCAAGTTGTGTCAAGCTCTCTATGAGCTTGTATCTACCTTCAGTGTCCACTTGATGACAGAATCCTGGTGGCACAATGCTGAAACATTCAGCTGTTGATCGAAAGGTTCACAGTTCAAACCCACTAACTGCTCCAATCTTAACATAGCACGAAGGGTGTACTGCATAAGAGTATGATGGATAAGGCCAATTTGATAGTTGTGCTTTCTCCTGGAAAGGACCCCATGGCTTCTATCAAATATTCAGCCTTTTCTTGTTTTAAAGGCTTCCAGTAATGTTGGTATTTTAATATAAGCACTCAGTGAGCAGGTACGATTAGACTGTATTGTCCCTGGGGGGGATATGGGGGGTGTGTGAGGCAAGCACCACTGTCATTAGGGATTAATTCTTCCTTTGTCAGAGCTGGTTGACCTAGTCAGAGAGATTTGAGACACCCTGACGTTCTCAAAATCATCAACAAATAGATATTTGAGTTTTGTTATCCTGAGTCCCGGCTGCCTCATATGAACGGATTCTGGTGACAAGCTGACATGGGATAATCCATCAGAGGTGCCAACCTAAACATATATGTGTTTTCATAATTCTCCCCAGCCAGTTGTTAGGTGCTGTTAAGTTGGAACCAACTCATGGTTGACCCTCCAGTTTTCAGAGGGTCTAAAGCACATGAGAAGTGAGTGCCCATCATTCTCCCATGAAGCAGCTACTGGATTTGAACCACCTGCCTTTGGGTTGGCTATGCAACTCCCTACCCATTAGGCCTTCATCCCCAGTGCATTATTGTTGCTGTTGTGTACCAGAGAATCAGAATCAACCCATAGCTGACCCTCCAGAGGGTTCTCAGAGGCAGTTAATTGCACGGGAGGAGACTGCCCATCTTTCTCCCATGGAGCAGCTGATAGATTTGAACCGTGTCCCTTCAGGAGTGCAATACAGCTTCTTGCCCCTAGGCCATCAGCACTCCGTCCCCAGTGCATTACATCCTTCTAGAAATATGAGTACCAGTCACTTGTGACACCCAGGAATATGTTCACAGAGACACTGAGTCAAAATCAAGGTGTCACTAGGGGAGGAAAGGTTATATGAGGTATGCTCCAGATCATATCATAGCCAAAAATGATCACAATAAAGAGTCACGTAAAATGTTTGCTTCCCAGTGCATATAAAAGTTATTTACACAGCTACACAGTTATTTACACAACCTGGAGTCTATTAAATGTGTACACTAGTGTTAGGAAAATTTTGAAATGTAAAAATTATCAAGATGTGATAGGCCACGAAGAGAACAGTACCTGCTATTAGAACAATGGTGGTGTCCTTGCTCACTCAAGGTGTGTCTGCCTCAGGGAAGTGGGGCCTGGGAAAATGAGCGTGCGGTGGGGCTGGGCACCAGGCAGGGACACGCCACCCTGCTCACGTCTGTCCCTCTCTCCCAGGCCAAGTCTTCCGAGGAGATGGGCCACTGGTTGGGCCTCTTGCTCTCCGAGTCGGGCTCCAAGACCGACCCCGAAGAATTCACCTATGACTACGTGGATGCCGACAGGGTTTCCTGTATCGTGAATGCAGCCAAAACCTCTCTGCTGTGAGTATCAAGGGTCCTTCTACGTCGCATACGCTCCTTCCCAGCCGAGCTTCTAGGCCCAGGTTCCGGTTGAGAATGGTTCAGGGCAGGAAGAATGGTTCGTTCTGCCCTGCTCTCCACAGCAGCAGGCCATGTCCAAGGTTGAAGTCTATCTCTGAGGGGCTATTCCCAGCTAATAGCTGGCCAAGCAGGCCTGAGCTTCCAGTGTTCCTGGATCTGGTTAGATGCCCTCCACTCTCTGATAATTGGCCCCTTTCCTGGGGCCCCCACTCTGTCCCCACGACTGAGTACACAGGGCTGTGTACTCTATGTGCACGCACAGGGTCAGGCAGGGGAACTGGCAGAACCTGGCCATGCCACTGAAGCTGTGTCCTAAGACCCAAAAGGGGACAGTATCATGCCTTCCGCTCCTGGAGGAGGAAGTGAGGGGGTTTATTGTTGGGAGAGCCTGAGAGAGATCAGGGAGAAAGGCTGGAAAAGAATCCTAGGGGCAGGAGAAGGAGAGTTGGTGTTTGAGAAGAAAACTCTGGACCCACAAGTTATAGTAAGAAGGCAGTGAGGGCCACCCCTGAATGAACTGGCTTTTGCTGGAGGTAAATACATTCCCCGTCCACGTTTCATGGTGTCCCCATTCTGAATCCTCTGCGATGCCGCCTTCTCCACTCTGTCTTGCAGACTGATGCAGAGGAAGTTCTCAGAGCCCAACGCGTACATTGATGGCCTGCCCCGCCAGGGCTGTCAGGAGGAGATCTACGATGATGTGGAGATGTCGGAACTGAAGGCAGCGGTAAGTGACAGGCCTGGCTGGGGCCCGGGGATGCCCTGTCCTCCTCTTCAAGGCTGACCACTGTTAGACTGTCCCCAAGCTGAGTGGCTCTAGAGCCCCTCTTCCAGGCCCTCGGTGCAGACTTAACAGCTCCTCTGCCATGCGCTCAGCTGAGTCCTCCACCTGGTGTAGATCTGTGTCTCTGGAGCAGGTGGCCACAGTCCTGGCCAGGGCTAGGGATTTGGTATTGGAAGCAGGGGGAGGAACTCTGTTAGCCTTGGAGCTCCCACTGACAGCTGAGGTGACATCTCTGTACCAGCAGCAGAGACCACGGATGGGGCATTTCACTGCTCCGCTAACAGTTCACATGTGTTAGTTCATTTAAGCTGACCCCTTTATGGCAGGTACTGTTCTTCAAGGGAGCTCTGGTGGCCTAGAGGCAAGAAGCTGGGTTATAATCCCAAAGGCACACTGTTCAAATCCACTACCTGCATCGCAGGAGAAGGATGGGTAACTGCTGCCCATGAGATATACCGCCTCTGAAAACCCGTCAGAGGGCCAGCTAGGGGTCAGTACCAGTGTGAGGACACCCAACAGGAACTGTTGTTGTTGTTGTTGTTATGTGCCGTCGAGTCACTTGTGACTCATAGCGACCCTATGTACAACAGCCCTAAACTCTGCTCTGTCCTGTGCCAATCGCACCGTCTCTAACACTCCCATCCCAATTATCCCAGTCACTGAATCAATCCACCTCATAGAGGGCCTTCCTCTCCTGCGCCGTCCCTCGACCCTCCCAAGCATGATGTCCTTCTCCAAGGACAGGTCTCTCCTCACAGCATGTCCAAAGTATGTTAGACGGAGCCTCAGAATCTTTGCTTCCAAGGAGCCACCCGGTTTAACCCTTTCCAGGACAAATCTGTTTGTTTTCCTAGCAGTCCACGGTATTCTCAATACTCTTCTCCAGCACCACAGCTCAAAGGCATCAATTCTCCTTCTATCCTCCTTGGTCATTGTCCAACTCTCTGATGCATAACAAGTGATTGCGAAGACCATGGCCTGTATCAGACACACCTTAGTCTCCAGAGAGACACCATTGCTCTTCAGTACTTTGGAGAGGTCCCTAACAGCAGACTTTCCCATGGCAGTGCGCCTTTTAATTTCCTGGCTGCTGGTGCCAAGACTGTTGACTATGGAGCCAAGCAAACTAAAGCTGTGTACAATCTCAATCTCTTCACCATCCATCCTGATGCTGCCAATTGGTCCAGTGGTGAGAATCTTTGTCTTCTTGACATTGAGCCTCAATCCATATTGTAGGCTACAGTCCTTGACACTCTGCAGCAGGCACTTCAGGTCCTCTTCAGTTTCAGCAAGCAGGGTTGTGTCATCCGCATAACGCAGGTTGTTGATAAATCATCCACCAATCTTGACCCCACATTTCTCCTCATAGAGCCCAGCCTCCCGGATAATCTGTTCCGCATATAGGTTGAAAAGGTATGGAGATAGGACACATCCCTGGCGTACGCCCTTCCCAATTTTGAACCATGCAGTGTTCCCTTGCTCTGTTCTGACGACTGCTTCCTGGTTCAAGTATAAGTTTCGCATTAGAATGATCAAGTGTTCTGGGATTCCCATTCTTCTCAGGGTCAGCCACAGTTTGTTATGATCTACACAGTCAAATGCCTTTGCATAGTTAATGAAACAACAGCAACTATTAGATAACCTGTCCTGGAGACTTAATCCCAGCACCTCAGACGCCAGAACAGCAGGGAAGTCTATCGTCCTGTCTGCTGCAGGTGGACGTCACCGAGGAAGACACCCCGGGGATGGACGCTCCGAGCTCCAGTGAGTCTGACCGAGTGTATCTGGACCTCACGCCCGTCAAGTCATTCCTCCACGGCTCCAGCAGCGCCCAGGCCCGGGCCGCCTCCCCGACCTTGCCCCGCCTGGACGAGCCGGCCGAGGCCTTCCCTGCGGACCCGGAGCCCCCTCTAGACGAGCCCACTGTAAAGGCTGCAGAGACCCCTGAAGAGCAGGTACAGAAGAGCCTCTCCTGGTGGACATGTGGCCTCACCTTCGCAGGCCCCTCAGCCACTGACCCGTGTCCACTGTGCCCCAAAGCAGAGGCAGCAGGAGAGCCAGGAGCTGGAGGAGCCCAGTGTGAGAATCGCCACCGTCAAAATCCAGACAGAACAGCAGAAAATCACGTTCCCCGACACGGTGACTCTGTCCCCTGCCGGGGCCAGCTCACCCGGGAAGGACAGGCAGCGGGTCACCAGTGCAGGTGCTTGTCTGAGCCAGAGCCCAAGGTTTGCCGATGGCTGGGTGGACCTAAGGGTGGCTCAGAGAGGTGAAGGGACTTGCCCAAGGTCACTCAGCAAAGGTGAGGGGGGAGATGGCTAGCATCTCTCAGGGAGAGGCTGTCCCCAAGGCCACGGCTGGAAGCTGGGTAGAGGGCAGCCCTCCCCGTCCACCTAGTGACCTGAGGTTCCTCTCCCTGGGTCTCCAGAGATCAGACTGGGCAAGAACAGGACAGAGGCTGAGGTGAAGCGGTACACAGAGGAGAAAGAGAAGCTGGAGAGGCAGAAGGAGGAAATCCGGGGCCACCTGGCCCAGCTTCGGAGAGAGAAACGGGAGCTGAAAGAGAGCCTGTCCAAGTGTACAGGTAAGGGCTCCCCGGGCTGGCCTCCAGGGAGTAGGTGAGCGGGAACGTTCTAGAATGTTCTCGTTCAGTGCACAGCCTTCCACACCTTGTGAGGCCGTCTGTTGGGCATAAGACATCTCACATCATCCTTCCAGCCAGTTGCAAAGCACTCTGAAAGCGTCTATTTTCTAGATCTTCTCTAGAACCTTCCCAAAGCCTTTATCTTGGTTTCTCCAGCATGACTCTTCATACTCGGCATATAAATGACAGCAGCTTCCTTCTCCCCACAGACAAAGGCGCCCTGGCCAGCTTGGAGCAGAAGCTGAAGGAGATCGACGAGGAGTGCAGGGTTGAGGAGAGCAGGCGTGTGGACCTGGAGCTCAACATCATGGAGGTGAAAGACAACCTCAAGAAGGCCGAGGCCGGGCCCGTGATCCTGGGGACCACAGTGGATACCACTCACTTGGAGAGCGTGAGCCCCCGCCTGAATGTGAGAGCCTGGGCCCTCCTGGATGGGGGCAGGGAGGTGGGGCACATCTCGCTCCCGTGACTCAGCCTCTGCGCTTCTCTCTGCCCACAGCCCAAAGCTGCCACCCCCACCCCCGTCCCAGACTGCACCCCAGTCAACTCGGCAACGGCGCTCAAAAACAGGCCCCTCTCAGTCATGGTCACAGGCAAAGGAACAGTCCTGCAGAAAGCCAAGGTAAGCAGTCACTCCCAGCCTCCTCCAGGGCCCCAAGCACTGGCCCCAATACAAGGTCCCTCCTCTAACCCAGGGGACACCTTGAACAAAGCCTCCATGCTCACACGAGGAACTAAGGGGCTCAGTCTCCAGGACCTTTGTCAGGTGTTTCTGCCAATCCCTTCCCTCATTTATACAATGGAGAGCATGCCTGGAGCTGCCTGTGTTTCTGGTAAACTGCTCCTCAGTTTCTATCCCACTTCCCAAGCCAAGACCTTTAATTCTCCTAGTGGTTGCTCTAGGTACCACACCAACAAACGTGTAAGCAGAGTCCGGACAGGGCTTGAAATGCATTTCCTCCTCTGTCCCTAACTGCTGCTTTGCTTAAGAGACCAATATGTACAGATGTATGTTGTTTAACGTCTATCTGGATAATATTCACTTTATGTTGATGGGCCAGTACACCCAACTGTCTGTGTCAAAACACTAGGCGTGAACCCCGTTTCTGTTCAGCTGCCACAGCTGAGCTGCAGTGGAGGCCCCCCCAAGTTTCAGCCTTCCCACAACTACTGAATCTCAGCAAGGGGAGCCCCTGTGTTTTTCCCAGGGTGGTCTCATAGGGTTCTGATGACCAGATATGCATCCCAGGTGTCCGCAGTCCCCTCCACTAGGCAAGTTTACCCATGAGAACCCCTCCCAGGTTCTCGGGGACAGTCTAGCTAGCGGAGAAGGTGGTGACAGCTGGCTGAGCCCTCTTCTGAAGCATCTGTAATGTGTGTCACACAGCAGCCCATCTGGACCCGTGCCCTTGAGAGCCCCAAGGACACAGGCATTGACACAGTGCCCAAACCACCTAGCGGGCCAGCCTGGGGCCGTTAAGCAATGCCTGTCCGTGCTGTCTCTCTGTTGAGTTTGTTCTATTTTAAAATGCATGTAAGGTTTGCTACAGAGAAGTAACTTTCTTTTTCTTTGGGGGGGTGCTGGTATTTGAATGGCACCGTAGGAATGGGAGAAGAAAGGAGCCAGTTAGGAAACAAGCATCTAAAGCCTCTCCCCTCACTGTGGACCTTGGTGACAATCCTGTTTCCTTCACGTCTTCATTAAAGCAGCAAGTCCACAAGAGAGTGCAGGTGTTTAGAGGAAAAAGCAAGGCCTGGTTCCTGTGACTGGTAAGCGCTAGCTGAGAGGAGGCTCATACCTTCTCAGAACCAAGGGAACCAGAACGAGAGACGTCTTCTCGCACGTGGACGTCTGATGGATGAGCGTGAGAACACTTGTATTTATGAAGGTCTCTGCCGCTGCTGTGGAGTTTTCATCAAGTACTAAGGGTATTTTTTTGCCACAATCTGTTGGTGAGTCTTCAGTGGAAGAGAAATCAGTGTCCTCGTCTACCAGACTGACAAGATGCAGCCTTCTGCCGGTCACATTTCCCCCAACTGTCGGCACTGAGGGTTCAACTGCTCGTGTTTTCCTGTTTCTTCGATATTTACAGGTCCAACAGTGATCTTCTACAACATGGTTTTATTAAAAATGGGACCACACTGAGGCCAATTTCTTTTGGGTCCTAAGATAGGCGTGAGTCAACTACTTTTAAGATGTTAACTGATGCTGTATTATATAAGAAAAAATGTTTAAAATTCTGTAACTTAGAGGTTTTTTTTAAAAAAAAATTCCCTTTGAGATTTAACTGCCTTTTTTTTTATATATATTACTATAGCAAAGAAATTATCCTGTGTTTACAGATTCAGTCTTGTGGCCAGGCCATTTCTAAGGAAAGACTTATTTAATGTTCTCATTCCATTTTTCAAGTCGTGTTTAATATCAAGGCCCCTTCCAGGGAAAAGTAAACTTAGAGTGGGAGGGTCACCTGCTTCTCTTAAGACTGGGAATGCCCTTCTCGGGGCGGCCTTGTCATATTCTTGGATGGTATTGTTTTGTTTTTTAACAGGTTGAAACATTTCATCTCTGCCTCACTTCTGGGAGTTCTGAATCAGTTCTCTGTGAACTAAAGATCTTTTGTGTCTTTCTAATCCCAGGGCATTTCTTTTTGTCATGAACATGTGGTACCCCTTTACCGAGTGGTAAGTTAGATTTTTATAAATAAAATTTTAATTGTGTTTCATGAAAGGGCTTGGCCATTCATTTCCACGTTGAACTTCAAATTCCATATGATAAAATCTGGCAGAACTACACTGTCGACTCTTAGGAGGAGGAGACTAAGCCTTCTTGAGGCAGGGGAGGTCTGTGGGCAAAGGGAGTTCAACTCCACCAGCCACTGAATATGGGCAATTTCCTCCCATGCAATTTATAGCCTCAGAAACCCAGTGAAGAGTCAGCTATGAGTTGGTTCTGACCCACAGCAGCATTGCAAGACTGCCACACCTTACTCTCCAGGAGCTGCTGGTGGATTTGAACCACTGACTCTTCAGTGAGGTTACAGAGGCTGTAAATCACACGGGAGGAGATTATCTGTTCTTCTCCCCTGGAGCAGCTGGTGGCCTCAAACTGTGTGCCTTTGGGATTGCAGCACAGATTAGAAATCAGTACACATGGAAGTGAAACATATTCCTAAATAATTTGTAGGGAAAAGAAAATTATCAATACTCAGGAGTGTGCCTCAGTAGTAATTAAGGAAGTTCATTGCATAAATGCATTTATTTTTTTTTTAAAAAATTACAGGAAAACATTATGAATCTGGCAGTTTGAGGAAGTATGGAAGTACCACTTTCTAAAAGGTACACCCCAAATAGAAAGCCATTACAAACAAAAAGCTGAAGGTCATAGGAAAAACAATCTTAAATGCAATACTGGTAAATGAGATGCAGCAGTGTATCTACCTTGGCAAGGTGCATTATTTTTTAACCTTGTTTTTTAAAGGATTATAAGGGCAGTCTAATACTTAATAGCAATTCATCACATTAATAGATTAAATGTGAAAAACGTCATTGATGAAATGAAGCCAAACACAAAAATTCTCAGTAACCCAGGAAGAGAAATAAACATTCTAAACCCAATAAGCTACATAAAAAGTCCTTTAAATTTATGAAGCAGCTACAGCCATCTACCTGCTACCGCCACTCTTAAAATGATGACTCTAGGGGCCCTCAGCTATATAAGTCTACTGGCAACATTTTTTCCCAACAGCATGTGCTCACTGCAGGTCTCTGTCACATTTCGCTAAGTCTCATAATACAGCAAATTGCTTTCTCATGCTCTTGCACTCTTGATAAAAGACAGTGCAAATCAAACCCACTGTCACGGAATCCGTTTCAACTCCACTGGGGTCCCACGGCTATAAATCTTAACGGAAACAGTATGTCCATCTTTCTAACCACCAACCCTCTGATTAGCAGCACAAAGCACCCCTCGTTAGCGCTTCTCAAACAGACTACAATCCAAATGGAAATAAATTCATGTGATTCGCTATAATGCGGGGTCTAGAACTCCGCCTGTAGCATCAACCTTCAAAGGGAAGACACAATGGTGATTATTCATAAATGTTCTCTTTTCATAAAGAGAATATATTTAAATATTTCTGGTATAATGAAATTAAGGGTGGGTTAAGCAGTGATGTAATGAATAATCTCCACCATTCCTGGGACCTCAGTTCTTAAAAACAATCCCTGGGTTATGTCATAAAAATTCTTCACTGTTCTTAAATCCAAGCAAATTACCTAGGGCACTCAACTGTTGCAGAGTGCATGTCCCCACGCTATGAAATGACTAAAGGTCATTTACTGAAAGACAGGTAACCCAGATGTTACCATAAGTCAATGTTTAAGGTACTACAGACCCTTTTAACACTTACATGGTAGTGCCTCTTAAAGCATTTTCCTCCTAACAATAGCAATCCTGAAGGATCTGCAAGGTAAGAGGCATTTAAATCAAAGCAACCTTGAACTTTTGTATGTTGTTATGTGCCGTCGAGTTGCCTGCAACTCAGAGCAACCTTATGTACAACAGCCCTAAACCCTGCTCTATTCTGTGCCAATATTACTGTCTCTGACACACCTACCCCCATTACCCCAGTCACTGAATCAATCCAGCTCATAGAGGGTCTTCCCCTCCTGCGCTGTCCCTCCACCCTTCCAAGCATGGCGACCTTCTATTAAAACTGTAAGACCTCTGAGTTTGTCAGTTCTACAGGGAAGCCAAGTTGAAACACAAGTAGAGGGCAGAATTGATTCCTAGGCCCTGCAGAGGTGACCGAAGACGTGATTTGCCAGAAGCCATTCCCAGCAGGCCCCTCCACCACACAGCAACACATTCTCCTGTTAACCAACCAACCACATCTCTTAAAAAGATTCCTTTTAAAGCCAGCCAAAACGAAAACCTAGACAGCAGATAAACTAAGCTTTAAAAGCAAAAGTGCTCCAGATTTCTTTAATTGATTTTTTTTTTGGTCAAGTTTTCTAATTCTCCTCGCCCCAATCCCAGGAAAATACAAGAAAGAACCCAGTGAACAGTCTGCAATGCGACCTCCTAAGTAAACTCTAAAAAGATGACCTCCGAGGGGACACTGGACATGACCAGTTTAGCCTGGGCCTCCTACTCCAAGTCACTGATTCTGTCCCTGAACCCTTCAGCCCACAAACAAGCAGGGAAAGTAGTCAACAGCCACAGTTAGAGTCACCTTGTCACAAATGTCATTCAAGCCCTGTTTTCAAGAACAGGAGAACATTTTTTTCCTTTCTCTCTCAAAATGTCACTGCCCAGTGGCTCAGATGACACTCCAGTATCTGCCGCCTCCTTTGAGTCGTGACTCCCTGTGACATTCTATCCACACACAATTTTTTTTCGGGGGGTAGGGAACGCAAGCCTCCAACAGGTCATCAAATTTCCTCAGTCTCCTGGCTCTTTTGTTTCGCTCCGAGGAAAGGTAGCAGATGACATGTAAGCTTGATGCAGCGCAAACGAGGGACAGGAAAGAAATACTTACTTACATATGAGAATCATGTCAACAGAGTCATTTGGAAGGTGAGACAAGTGGCGAGACTGTCCCTTTGCAGCGCTGTCCATGGTTGGGCGTCTCTTGTTTCTGGGAGAGGAGCAGTGGACAGGGCTGGAGGGGGACAGTCAGGATCCCCACAAGGGCTGGTGTCATCTCAGTGCGAGGGGCGTCCAGGCTGCCGCGAAGGGAGCTGTGACGGCCGCCATACTGCAGGCTCCTGGCGGGGACCTCGTGTCCTGAGGGCATCTCCTCGTAAGAGTCCTGGGGAAACACGTGAGCTCTGAGGACATGAGTCCTCTTCTCACCCAAGTGGCAGTTCCTGTCCCGCTGCAGCCCCTGGATGACGAATAGTTATGCACTTGACGACTAAACAGAAAGCTGACACATTGAATCAACCCAGAGGGGCCGTGGGATAAAGACCTGGTGAACTGCTTCTGCAGATCAACTTTAAAAACCCTAGGGAGCAGGGTTCTACTCCACACACGGTAGACTGCGATGACTCAATCAACTAGATGCCAGGTGGCAGGGGAGGTGGTGGTGGTGGAGGAATACCTCAGGGTCTTTACTCAAGTTCACGCTCCCTGTCTGCTCACCTCCATAGATCCTTCCCTGGCCATCCAATCAATCTCTAACTGCACACTGTACACTTGGTCTGCTGAACGCCAAAACCAAACTCCCTGCCATCAAATCGATCCCAATTCATAGTGACCCTCAACTGAGTTTCCAAGGGAGCTCTGGGGGCTGAGTGGTAAGGAATTGTGCTACTAATACAAAAGTCTATGGTTCAAATCCACCAGCATCTCCATGGGAGAAAGATGGGAAGTCTCCCACATGATTTCGTGCCTCTGAAACCTCACTGGGGGATCAGCTATGGGTTGATTCTGACTCTATAATACATGACACACAAACAACTGGATTTCTAAGGCTGTTAATGAGAGCAGACCACCCACCTTCTTCATTTAGTCAACTATCAGTACCTCGTACATATTATATTTGCTTGTTTATTGTCTGTCTGCCGCTAGAAGGGAAGCTCCCTGAGGGTAGACCTTTTTCAAGTTTTATTGCACCTCTTAGAAGAATGCCTGGGATAGGAGAAGTTCTCAAGAAATGTTCTGTGAGTAAATGAATGATTCTGAATGCATGCCTGAGAATGCAGCTTAGCTGACTGTATGGGACTTGGCAGGACTCCGACCACCCCCTCTCTGGCTCGCTCATGCAGAGCGAGGACCCCAACTTACGGTTTCCGCAGTGGGGGCCCTCCCAGCCCTCCAGGCACACACAGCGGTAGCTCCCGCTCTGCAGGACGCAGGAGCCCTCGTTCATGCACGGGCTGGGTCTGCAGAGGCTGACAGGCTGCTTCGCTTCTACAACAGAGAACACACCCACCCGGCTCAGCCTGGGTCAGCCCCAAAGACCCCTGCTCTGTGCAAGCCTGGGACAGACTCGAGGCCTCAAGAGCCAGGGGCCCATGCATCTTCATCTCTTGGCCTTTAAGTGAGAACTCGGTTCATGGATCAGTAGGCTAGGTTAAAAAGACCCAACTTGCACCTTTCCTTATATGCATCCAATGTACTTGGCACTGGGTAGTGCTTAATTCATGTCATATCATTTTTTAAAAAGGCAGAAAGGAATAAAGCAGCTACAAGATATTTTCTATTCACAGAGCTATGAGACAGTACAGTCCTACATCTGTAATACTAGAGGATACAATTACAAACTTTCTAAGTAAACCAGTATAACATTTTTAACAAAGCGTTATCTGAGACTTGATTCTGCTTTTCCAGCAGAGGGCCCAAAGGACAGTGTGACATGGCTCTGGTACAGAAATGCACCTTTTTAGAGAGGATTTCCTCTCTTTAGTGGCACAGTTCTAAGTACTCATTACTCTTCAAAAAGTCAGCTAAAAACCATTTTAAAAAATCCCACCCAAAACCCCCCACAACAGTGGACCCACACAAAGAAGAAAAATATGGAAGGTTTAAAAAGGCAGAAAGGCGGTCCCTGTGCAAAGGCAGCCAACATGGCCCCATCCACGGCCCCGTCTGCCTAGAGCAGCAGCTTAGACCCTCGGTTATCAGTGATGACCTCAAGGATGTCTTCTACTCAAGTGGAACGTTTGGAGTCTTGAGCTTGGAAAGCTCACTTAAATTGTCTGCCCCTTGAGCATAAATTAGGATGCTTCTGCCCACCAGAGGAGATGGTGTGAGCAGAGGACCAGGTCCGTGAACATTCCCAGTGCATGTGAGGAGATGCTCTCCTTTAAGGGGGACGTGGAGGCAGCTCTGAAGGCAGGGGAGCCCCACTCACCTCGGCATATCCAGTCGATGAGCGTGTCCTGGTGGTACTGCAGGTCTCCGTAAGCTGCCACGTGGATCAGGGCATCCCGGGGGCCTGCCAGCCTCCGGAGCGACTCTCGCAGCACAGGCCCCACACCCATGACTAACACTGAGACACCGTTGTTCCTCAGCTTCTGGGCTGGGACGGCTGCATCCTCGGCACCCCGCCCACTGGTGAGGACCACCACGGCCTTGGGGACCCCAGGCCGGGCCCCACTCTGCACGGTCATCACCTTGTCATGGATGTGAAGCAAGGCTGTCCCGGCTGAGCCCACCCCACCGAGGTAGGGGGCCTGGCTCACAGCCTGCAGCACAGAAGCCTGGGTGAGATGCGTCTCCAGGCCAAAGGCGGTCTGGACTCGGCTGCCGTACACCACCAGGCCCACCTGCGTCACGTCAGGGTTCACGTCAAACTGGAGGACGCAGCTTCTCACGAAGCTCTGCATCTGAGCGAAGTGCTGCAGCCCCACGGAGGCGGAGGTGTCCAGCATGAAGACCAGGTCCAGAGACTGGGTCTGGCAGCCTGCGGGGCAAGCAAAGGTCCATGGGCAGGGGTGTGGAGTAGGCCAGCGCTCTGGGCTGACAGGGAGGGGCTGCTCCGGGTTAGGCAGAGCCAAGGCACCCGATGGCTGTCTGTCTGGTGTGACGGCCACGCTCCAGGAATGCTAGCATGACGCCAGAAAGTCCTGACCGATTATTCCTACCTTCCCATGCAGAGACTTGCAGTCACCTGTCTAACATTTGCCCAATGGGATGGGATTGGAAGTAACTACAACTTCCACGCTGTCTTTAAAGAAGATGCTATGGTTCTTCAAAAAGTTAAATGCAGCATTGCCACGTGACTCGGGAAATTCCATCATGTGTCCCTGGAAGCAGGGACTCAGACACCTGACGAGTGCGCACTGCAGCGTGGCTCACCCCAGCCAACTCCTCAACCCTGATCCCATGTGTCACGGAGTCTGAACCAGCAGAGCCTCCAGCAAGTTTTCAGAGGGAGTAGATCACGTGGGAAGAGAATGCTCCTCCTTCTCCGGGTGAAAAACTGCCGGATTCCAACCATGCGCCTTGGGGGTGGCAACACGGCTCCTCACCACCAAGCACCAGAGCTCCCAGTGAGGCACAAGTCAGGCTGTGGTGTCAGCCTCTAGCCCAGGGAGGGAAGAATGCTGCAGGCTCACCAAATAAAGGCCGGACCCACCCACCGGCCTGTGGCCCCCCGGCTCAGCGGCCACACGGCAGGGCCTCACCTGGACGCTGCTGGCTGCACAGCTTCCTCCGCAGCTCCGGGATCTGGTGGAAGAGGCCCTGCGGGTCCGTGTAGACCATCACGTGCTCGGGACCCCCGGTGATCTCCTCCAGCTCTGCCCGCACCGCCTCGGGGCCCACGGCCAGCACCTGCAGCTCCCGGGCCTGCGCCAGGCTGGCCACCTGGTCCTGGGCATGCGCGCTGGTGAGCAGCACCACCACCCTGAGCGCCCGGTCCTGGCCCGTCCTGGCCGCGCCCCCAAAGCCGCGCTCGGCTGCCTGCCGCAGGGCGCTGCCCGTCAGTGTGGCACCGCCGCTGAAGGGGATGCTGTCGAGGCTCGCCACCAGGCCGGCCACGTCCTCGTACTCCCCCACGGGCACCGCCACCACCAGCTCCCGGCTGTAGTGCGCCACCCCGACGCGGGCCCATGAGTCCTCGTCCAGTACGGTCTGCACGAACCGCCGCACGAAAGCTCTGGCCCGCAGGAAGGCCTCCCGCCCGGTGCCCGCAGAGCTGTCCAGCAGGAAGAGGATGTCCAGTCTGCACTCGAGGCTCAGCTTCGGGGCTGCAGGAGTCACAGTAACCGTATCGTTAGGGACCCGAATGCCTGAGACGCCCTTATCTCCAATACACACACACACACACACACGGAGAGGGGGGCTGAGGATGGGGGACTAGGGATCCAGCACGGAACTTGGAGCCTCTCTCCTGCTAACATTAGGGCCTCTATCTAGTCCAACCTTGGATGCTTGTTTTAATGTACTTTATAACTGTTTTCCCATATGCTGTTGTGTACTATAACTTTCTATATGTTTTTGTAATAATATACCATTTAGTCAAACCTACTCACTGAGGGGTTTTTTAAAGCAGTAAATCCCAAGTGAATAAACTGCCCATCTTTCTCCCACGGAGCAGATGGTGGATTTGAACCACCTGCCTTTGGTGTGGCAGCACAATCCCTTACCACTAGGCCACCAGCGCTTTCCTACTGGATAGTGCTTTCCCCACCCTATCTGAGCATCTCTGTCTACCTCGGGTTCATGAACAGAGTCTCCCATGCTGTCTGCTAGAAGCTTCACAGCTTGGCCTTTACAGCCCCCCTCCATCAGGAAGGAGGTTTTGTTTCATGTAAAGAAAGAATTGTTTGTTGTCCAGGAGCCTCCTCAGAGCTTCACCACCTGGGTTACTATTCACATGGCACTTCGAGACCTGGGAAATCACCAAGGCGGTGTATTTGGAAAGAAGTGTTTCTAAAATGCAATGGCTAGTTTCTATGCAGTAGCTAAAAAAGCAGAGAGCTTTGGTGGCCTAGTAGGTAAGGAGTTTATTGCACCCAGTTTGAATCCACCAGCTGCTCTTAAGAAAGATGGGCAATCTCCTCCTATGCCATTTACAGCCTTTGAAACCCCGCTGGAGGGCCAGCCGTGAGTAGGTTCTGAAGAGACAGCAAGAGCAAGGAGAAGGGAGGTGAGAAGGAGCCCTCTGCTGTATCCAGCCCCCCAGCCATCAGTGTCAGAACCCCGTATATACACACCACAGTTAGCCTCCCCTCCAAAGGCCAGCGGGCAGATGCAGTGATACTCGTCGGGACCTTCTGTGACACACGTGCCTCCATTCTGGCAGGGTGCAGAGTCACAAGGACCTGTAAGAGAGACGTGTATTAATGACAAGCGTGATGGCACAGGAGTGAAGGGGCTGGCAGAGGGGGAGCCTTGCAGGTTAGCGCGCCACTCCAGCCCCCTCGATCTCCTTGGTCCTCTAGGGGAGAGCGTGTCACAACAGGTACATCACAGGAGTGTGGCTTTAGCTACCACGCTGTATTTGCCCACAATACAGGAAGGGGTCTAGAAGTCCAGATCCTGGGCACTGGTTCTCACAAGACCTAAATATTCACCTGCTTGGGGCTTGTTGGATTGAGCTGCTCTTTTGTATCTCAAGTAAGACTGAATGAAGACAAACCTGACACTAACACTGCCTTACTCACATAACAGGACCCTTTCTCAAAAGAGATTACAGCCAACCGGTGCCCACAACCCTTATTTTTAGGAGGAAAGTGAGGGCCCAATTCAATCCCTAACACCCTCTATAAGAGGTAATGCGATATTTTCATTTGAATGCAAAGTGCAGTATAAGTCACGTGTCAAAGATCAGAGAGTTGGTAAAGGGCCAAGCTATTCTCAAGGACCTGCACTGAGATCTCAAAGTCACCCAGTTCGAGGCCACCAGCTGCTCCGCGGGAGAAGGATGGGCAATCTCTTCCCATAGGTCAGCTCTGACTCGATGGTACACAGCAACAAGTCTCAAATCCGGACCACTCTGGTTCTTAGCGTGAGCAGGAACAGCCTGCCTTTCGGTCCACGGCACATTTCAGAGGCCAGAGATGGTGAAACTCTGGACAGGAGATGCCCCACAGAGCAGGTAACTAACAGCAGGGAAGCCTTTGTCTCTGCTGCCGGGTCCTTGCTGCATCCTCAGTAGCGCATGCGCATACTCAGACACATTAGATCCAGGAGTGGAGTGTGGAGGGGTGCTCCACTGTGTAATGATGTGATTAAATGGGGTGTTTGGAACTTCAGCGCTGGCCAAGCCCTTTCCTGGCCTTCCTGAAGCCTCACTGGGCTTCCTTTCATGTGACACTTGTTATGATCAAGTACAGGACACTGCAGATCCCAGACATAAGGCAAACATGATGCCCATCGCACAGAGGAGGGTGCTGCCCTGAGTTCAGCCCTGGATTGAGACCTTCTCTGTAAATTTGGTGCTCAGTCCTTGCTGCCTCTCATCACTGCAAGGGGCACGAGTTAGAGGGGGTCACTCCAAAGACCCCACTCTCAGCTTACTGAGAAAATACCTGTGAACAAGTGAGATGAAAATACCATACACTCCATGGCCTTGGAGTCAGTTAAACACCCAGACCTTTCTCCTTGCACCAGCCCAGCTCCTCCCCTACCCACAAATGTCAGTGTCCCTTTATGAACCCAGCCTGACCCCAGGGCAGTGTCACGTCCCAGAGGCCGACCGTACCTGGGCAGGTGGTCCTGTAGCAGGTGGCAGGGTGGCTTAGGAACACTCTCCTCCTGCTACATTAAAGGGAAGAAAAAGGTAGAGCGCAAAGCTTACAAGGAGGGCAGAAACACAGGCGATTTTAAAGACACAAATCTGATAAAAGATTCCAGTGTAGAATGAGATCAAGGGGACCTCTTTATAGTTCTTTCCTTTAAGTCTCTCCTTTAAGGGAGCTCGGGAGGCCTAGTGCTAAGGAGCTGTGCTGTAACCCCTAAGGCACACAGTTCAAACCACCAGCTGCTCCGCAGGAGAAAGATGGGCAATCTCCTCCTGTGTGATTAAACTGCTTCTGGAAACCCACTGGAGTGTCAGCTATGGATCGGTTCTGACTCGAAGGTATATAACGACCTTTAAGTCTACCTATAAGGGGAAGGCCCCCTATGAGGTGGATTGATTCAGTGACTGGGGTAATAGGGACGGGAGTGTCAGAGACAGTGCGATTGGCACAGGACAGAGCAGAGTTTAGGGCTGTTGTACATAGGGTCGCTATGAGTCGCAAGAGACTCGACAACACATAACAAAAACTACAACAACATACCAACTTATCTGTACAGAAAGGAAAGATGTTCAAAATACTTAGAGACAACTGGAGTGGGGAAAACTACAGTAAGTCAGCCATGGAAAAGCAGGATCAGGTTACAACTGAAAGGTGGGCAGTTCAAATCCATCAGGGATTCACTGAGAGAAATGAAGCCATCTTCTCTGTTAAGATATACAGTTCAGAAACCTAGTGGAATAATCAACTCACTCCAGTGGGGTTGGGTTGTTTTACTGAAAATAGTATAAAGGAAGACATCACGATTAAGTGCTCTGGTTGCTAACTGAATAAACCCGAAGAGCCTGTACACTCAAGAAGAGACTTAGTCCCATAACATTTCTCTCCTGTGTCAGGTCAAGTCCTGGCCCTGGCAACCCTCCAGCGGGGTTCTGAGGCTGTCCGTCTAATGCGAGCACACAGCTTCCTCTTTTTCCCCATGGAGTGACTAGTAGTTCGAACTGCTGGCCTTTCAGGTTGCCGCCCAACGTCTAACCCACCAGAGATTGGGATGGCTCTGCTCCGTCCTATAGGGCTGCTATGTCAAATCAACTTGACGGTAATGCATTTATCACAGTGGAAAAACCTGTGATCAAAATGCCAAACCGTGAAAACCACTTTGTTAAGACTTTCTAGCCAGCAGCACGTAGTGGAGGGGGAGACATCAGAAATTAGACAACTGGCTTCTGGCTTTGTGACCTCAGGCAAGTTACTTTCCTTCTCTGATCTTCAGATCCTCAGCTCTACGTAGGCGCTCTTTGTGTAATTTTCAGCTGCACTGCTGGGGGCTTCTGACTGAAGGGAAGGGCACTGAGTGGCCAAAGTCCAGGCTTTCTCATCCCCACAGCACAGCCCCTCACCTCTGCCACCAGTGCACTGCTTCTATGTGGTCTACACAAGTGTCATTCCGACTACCTGGTCTCGAACCCTAAGATCCCGCTGAATGCTAGTGTCCCCAGGTGGCCTCCCTGTATCAGGAAGCCCCCTGGTACCTTGACTCCACCGCTAACCGCAGGGAAATCTCCCTGCACCTAACAGATGAGAACCAGCTCCGAGGGGCTCAGGGTCACACGACCTCTAGAAGACAGCAAAGGTGGGAGCCCAATGGCGATTACCTGACTCCAAGCCACTCTGCCCCTGCACAGCAGGAACTGCCCTGTGCCCTGGCTGGAAGGCTGCCTCCAGCCTGGCAGCAGTGCCAGGCACCACCTCACCTACATGCACTTCTCTGTGGTCTTTGGCCAAAAAGTTCTCTAAAGGGCTTTTTCCAACAAGGTCCCCCACCTGGCTCACCTCTTGTAGGGTCTTTCTGAGGTAAAAGATCTTTGGGATAAAAGCCAAGTCAATTAAGAACTCAAGAAGTTGCTGGAACAAATATGTGTCAAGCAGCTAGCTCATTAAGGAGAAACTGTTCCCTCCTCTTCCAATCCTAACAGCCTCATAAAACCACAAGTCCGGACAGGGAGCTCCAGACCCGCCCCCTTTCCCACCCAGGTGTTGGGGGGGAATGCTGTTGACAGTCTCCACCTGGATCTGCACTAAGCTCATCACCTCCTCCAGGTGTGGACACACCTGCCACATTCATTGCCAGGCCACCTCCAGCCTCCAACACCGTTCCCTGCACCCTGTCTCCAGGCCACCTCCAGCCTCCAACACCGTTCCCTGCACCCTGTCTCCAGGCCCTGCTTCCTTTTCTGCACGGCACTCCTTGCTCGAGAGCTGACTTTATGAGTCCCTGCGGTTCACAACCTGCGTCCCTGACTTGGGTTGTCAGCCCATGAGAGCAGGTTTGTCTCCGAGATGTTTGTTTTGAGGGTCAAGGACAGTGCTGGGGACAGAGGAGGCCCCAGCAGGAATTTCATGAATGAGGGAATTGACGAAGAGTATGCAGGCATCTCTCCGGAAGCAGACAGGGTTCACACACTATATATTAGCTCCCTTCGAGGTCTCAGCATCCCTGCTAAGCAACCTGGTTTCCTTTCCCTGATTTTCTCAGCTCTCTTCCCGTCCCTGTCACATGCTGTCCACAACGTGACTTTGCAGGACTGTCCCCTCCTCACAGCTCTGAGTTTGTGGTACTGGGGTTGCACCCCTACCCCCAGCAGTGACCACCTGAGGGACACACCTGTAGAAGGGACAGCGTGAGGCCAGCACGGCGTTGATGCGTGGCGATCCTCTCCAGCAGAGGGCACTGTGGTCCTGCTCCGTGATGGTCTCCAGCATCTTGCGCTCACAAGGGTACGGCTCCATCCTGCAGTCTGTGTGCCCACACCCCAGAGACTTAGGGTCACACCTCCAAGCCTCTAGCCCCCAGCCCAGCCTTGATTATCTCCTGCCCCCTAGGCAGCACGAGTGCCCTCAGTTCTACTTGTTCAGGTGGGTAGAGGCCCTGAGCACCTGCCTACTGTCTGCCTTCTATATAACATACGCACGGGTAAGTTTTGCATAATAGCAACCTTCAGCTCCTGGGGCCCCTAAGGAAAGTTCTAAGAATACAGGGCCTCCTCCTCCCCTTGTCGACCAAGACAGGCAGGATGTCTGACCTCCTGTCTTCTGATCTGGGACAGTCAGAACACCCACACCTGTACCCCTGGCTCCTTAGGTCCCTAAACCTGAACCCTGCTACACCCTTGGACACAGAGGCTCAGGACCCCCAGCCTAGACGCCCACAGGCTGATACAAGGAGGGGACTAGGCAAGGAGACCAAAACGGGGTGCCTCCCGCCCAGCCCTCACCAGTGTCTCTACACCCACTCCCTAGGGAAGTCCTGAGAGATGACCCTTTACCTGGCGCCCCTGCTCCTCCATCTCATACTACCCTCCTCAGGCGTCTCACCAGGCGGGGCGGCAGTGCAGACGGCGGCACTGCCCAGGGTGCTGAAAAGGCCATTGGTGGCATCATCCGCCTGCTCCGCGAACAGTATGTGCTGCTCCTTGGGCTCGCTGGCCAGCGCCTGCAGCTCCTCCCACCTGTCTCAGGACACCCCAAGAGTCACAGAGCTGGGGGCTCCATCCCACCCTCCTCCAGCAACCCCACCTCCAAATGTGGGCGCCTGCAGCACCAGAGGCCATTGAGCACCAGCCAGTCCCCTGAGGATGCAGGTGAGGCCCCAAAACCCTCAAGGAGCTCAAGGTGACATGGACAGAGGCCAGGAGTGGGTCAGTGTGTGCGTCAAAATGCCTCAAACCCCCGCCCAGCTCCAGACCTCGGCCTCTCCCTGGAGACCCTGCCCTAATCCGTTCATTTGTTATGTGGCTTTGTGGCCACGGCCTGAGAGAGACAGTCACTGGGAAAAACATGAAGGAAAATGATGACAGCAAGCCAAGAGCAGCCAGGGACCACTCACCGCAGAAACAGAAATGGCCCAGCCGGGGGGGGCACCAGCCTCAATTCTCTCACACTCCCTCCACCCTCACAGCAAAGCCCGGCTCAGCCCTCCTTCCGCCCCAGCTGCTGCCCGCTGACAGGCCACCAGGAGCAGCTCCAGAGCCCTCCTGCCAGTCTCCCCACTTCCCCTCCTGTCTCCCAGTGTCTGCTTTCCACACAGCAACCAGCATGCTGGTCTCCCCACTTCCCCTCTTGTCCCCCAGTGTCTGCTCTCCACACAGCAACCAGAGTGACTTCTAAAATTTATATCAATTTGTGTCATCTCTGGGATCAGACCCTCCAAAGTCTCTGGATCCCAGAGACTCCCACAAACACCAGCATCTTTGCCATTACTCTGAGGGGTTCCACGCCCCGGCTACTGCCCACCCCAGCAAAGTTACACCAATCACCAAGTTTCAGCAAGAAAAAGACGAAAAGGCAAAGCAAGGACAGAATAAATGCATGCGAGGTTAGGATGGCCTGCCCTGCTTCCCTAGCATCCCATACACGGTCTCTCTCAGGCCGACTGTTTGTTGTTGTTGTTGTTGTTGTGTACCCTTAAGTAGGAACCGACCCATAGCTGACCCGCTAGTGGGTTTTCAGAGGCAGGGTTTTAACTGCATGGGAGGAGAGTGCTCATCCTTCTTCCATGTAGCGGCTGAGGGATTCAAACTGCGTGCCTTAGGGATTGCAGTGCAGCTTCTCACCACAGGTCAACCAAGGGGACTGAATTATGACAGCCTCTGCCTCTTCTTACCTGGGAAACCGGACCCCCACAGCAAAAACAGTCACACCCCTCTCCTTCAGCTGCTTGGCCGGCAGAGCCACGTGCCCTTGGGACCGTCCATCTGTGACCAAGATGAGGATCTGAGGCACAGAGTCACTCCTGCCTCCTGGGAATCCTTTGTGCAGCAGGTATTTCAAAGCTAGGCCCGTCTCTGTGCTCCCGCCCCTGGAGACATCAGACGGAAGAAACAGGCTGTGATCAGAGATGTGAGAGCAGGGTGGGAACCCGCAGTGGGTTGAACGGTGGCCCCGAAAGAAAGAGGGTCACTTCCTGCTTCCTGGGATTTATGAATGGGACCTTATGTGAAAGGACGTGAATGCTCTTAAAGTCACCTGGGATTACCTGGGTGCATCCTAAATAGAATGACAAAAGCCTTTCTAAAAGGCACATAGAGAAGACACATGGAGCAGAAGATAATGTGCAGTGTGATGAGGCAAAGAGAAACCAGAAAAAGCAAAAAATATTCTCTGCTACAGCCTCTGGCCAGGCAGCTGAGGACCTCACCCTGATGGATGCTGCTCGAGACTGGACCAATCGCTGAGAGTAAGGAGCTCAATGGGAGACTAATTTTGGGAGCCCCCAAAGGTATAACGGACACAAACGGGCCAGGGTATACCCATCGACCTTGAAAACCTGTTCATGTGCTTCTCCCTTCTACAATCTCTTTTGTCTGAACTTGCCCTCATTCTGTCCGCAGCACAAGCAGAGGAAAAGGCTGGGGCAGGTGAAGCACGGGCCTCCCTGTACCTGCCAGGCCAGCCCCTGATGGTCCTGGCGTGTGCCCACTGTGGAGTCCTGGGCTCGCTGAGAGGGTGGTGGGCTACAGACGGAGGACTGCACCTGGGAAAGGACCCCAGAGCTTGGGGCCTTTACAAGTGACAGTGAGGGGCAGCAAATAATGGGGGACACAGATTCAGGTGGGACTTCAGAGGGAACCAGAGCCAGGGATGACAGGGACCAGAGAGGATCTTGACATCAGAGTGGCAAGTGGCAAATCCATTCTTTGAGACCTTGCCAAGAATATTCTAGCAGTTCTACATGTGTGTGTTCGTGTGTGTATGTGCACCTGGCCCACACATAGACACAGATATGTTGTTGCTGTTATGTGCCACTGAGTCACCTACGACTCACAGCAACCCTATGTACAACAGCTCTGAAGCCTGCTCTATCCTGCACCAGTCTCACTGACACTGACACACCTACCCCCATGATCCCAGTTACTGTGCCAATCCATCACACAAATGTGTGTGTGTATGTGTGTATATACACACACACATATAACATGCATGTATATCTATTCACACAGACACACATCAGCTAACCTGAAATGTAAATTATAGCCCCCCTACATGTATTCATAGAGTTCATATATGTAAGTAAATAGCCAGCTTGTCATCAGTTTTATCGCATTCTTCAGACCAAAAGAGGACATAGCAAAACTCACCCCCAACAAAAACATGAAAAAGAGACCTATCGAAACATGTGTCCTGTCCAAGTTGCAGTGGCCCCCAGGGTCAGAACTGGGACTTGGGACCACTGATGGTTTCCCAAGTCACTTCTCAACCTGTCTCAACTTTCAACAGCCATGCAGGATAGCCACACACACTTTTGTATTTGCACATGCGTTCTCCCTGGGAACTGCACCAGCATGTAACAGTAAGAGGCAGTTTTAAGAGGGAGGCTGTGTGCACAGCTGGGGTTCAGGATGCTTGGGACCCACTCTCAGCTCCTATCCTCCCCCGAGCATGCTCAGAACAGGGCCCGTCCCTCCAGGCCCAGCGCCTTCCAGAAGGCACGGAATTCCTCCTACTGCACCACAGCCTGAACCGTACATACTTGAAAACCATCCGCTTGATTTTCTCCTTCACTTCCTGTCGGGTTGAAAACCAGTCCAAGGGGAATTCCAGATGAGGGGCGGAGGAGAACTGGATTGCTCCCACTCTGACCTTCAGGGAGAGAGATGGGGGCCAGGGGTCAGGCTCAAGTCGCAGACATTGCTGGGAGGACTCAAAGGAGGGGCTAGTGACCATTCAACAAATACCAGTGCCAGGTCTACTGCCAATCTCTGAAAAGCAGCTTCCAAAGTCCCAGAAGAAAACAAATGAACTTGTATGTGTCCTGCACTGTCAATTCCCAATGCAACCTCTTATCCTGCATCTCAGGAGACCCACCAGCCACTGTCCATCCTGAGTCGTGGGGACCCAAGCATGTAAAAATTCCTATTGTTCACGTGGTTCTCATGGCTGTGACCTTTCTGACACAGACCCCACGCCTTTCTTCCCAAGCACCTCTGGATGAGTTCAAACTGCCAACTTTTCTGTCTGTAGCCCAGTGTTTGGCTGTGTGTGACAGCCAGGGATTCTCAGATCCCTGCAAAGGCAGTCAAACCCTCTAGCCTCTCTCTTGGCTAGCCTGTGATCCTGGATGTCAGCCCTCTACTTCCCATTACCATCTGTCTCCGAGGTGCAGACATTGTTTTGTAAAAAGTCCATGCATAATTTCAATGAGACCACACCTCGCTGTGCCCACATGACTTCAGGGGACATGAAGATTTGGAAGAAGGGACAGATCCTGACCAAGGCAATGAATGGGGCTAATGAGAAAGAGAAAATAAAATCACCAAGCTGGCTGCTGCCAACTTGATCCTGGCTCGCAGGGACCCTGCAGGATGGAGCTCACCTGGCCCACAGGGGTACCAAGATGCTAATCTCTATAGGAGTCTTGGTGGCATAGTGGGTATAGTGTGAGGCTGCTAACTCAAAGGTAGGCAGTTTAAAGACGAGGCTCTCCCTTCCTGTTAAGATCTGCAGCTTCAGAAATCCAGTGGACGGTCGTCATGAATCAGGATCAACTCAAAAGTGATGGGGCTTGGGGTTTTCGTTTTTATGAAAGCAGAACCGAGTCATTCTCCTCTGGAGAAGCTAACTGGTGGGTATGAACACGGATCACTTGGTTAACAATGGAGCACTTGATCCACTGCACCACCGAGGCTCAAAGCCGAACTGGAGGACTTCAGAGTCTATGATCTCCACCAAGGATCTGCTGGCCTGTGCCGTCCTCAGCAGCCAGCATAGGTCTTCAGCAAAATGCTCACTGAGCCCGTCAGGGGTGCTCCAGAAGCCCCCCACCACAACCACCACCAGGCGGCTACTCTGCCGAGAGATCAGTCCATCCAGGCTACCTCCTGCCAAGCTCCAGAGGGACCGGCCGAGTCTCCAAACCAGAGGTGGAGTGGAGGGCCAGATGCAGCTGAGACCGAGATGACCACAGTAGCTGAAGGTTTCCACATAAGGGCGCCGTCAAGAGCCACCACTGATGACAAATGGACTCAGGCATCCTCACCGAAGACGAACCCCCAAGGGGAGAACCCAGTGTCTGGTAAAACTGCAGGAGGGACACTGGACTCCTGAGACGCTAGTGTGTCCGAGCAAAGATGACTACAGGTAGGTACTCAGCCTTCTCTAAAGGGCCCAAGGCCTGCACCTTCTCAGTGCCTCTTAACACGCCCTCGAGAAACTAGACTCCAGTTGACATTCCCGGAGCTGGACTCCAAATCTGGTTAAGAGTTTCAACAGATCAACTGAATTCCATTGAAATAATGTCTTTAATACCGATGACAGAGGAGGTTGTCATGGTGAAAGGAGCCCTACTGATGTAGTAGTTAAAGCACCTGACCACTAACCAAAAGGTCAACAGTTCAAATCCACTAGCTTCTCCAGGGGAGAAAGATGGTCTGTCTGCTTCCATAAATATTTAGAGCTCTGAAAACTCTATGGGGCAATTCTATTCTGTCTTGAAGGCCCACGATGAGTTGGAATCCACTTGTCGGCAGTGGCCGGGTACCACTGGTGTAATAAGCGGGGGACACAGAATTCACATTTGTTTAAATCTATATGAAGCAATTCCAGAAGGAAAGACGAGAAACAGCAAATAAGTAGGTGCGAGGGCAACTCACGCCTGCCCACCTTCTCAGGGAAGTGTGTGAATGAATTAGCTGAAAAACCTGTTCCCCTTGAGACCAGCAGTTGGGCGTGTGCACTTGAGTTAAGCAGGAAGGATACACTTCAAAACATGACAGGATGGGAACAGCTTAAGTCAGTCGTGGAGGCCTTTCATTTAACTGGTGGTCTGAGAGCAGCAGAGTTCCTTTCATCTGGACGGGTTTACTCAAAGGCTGCCCAGCTTCCCCTCCACACTGTAATCACGCCGGGGCAACCCTTCTATTTAGAGACAGGAAGTCAGCTTCTCGGCTTTTAAGCCTTGAGAGGGAAACTTCAAACCCCTGGAAGATCCGCCATGACAACAGTGCATTCAAAAAAAGCCTTCTTTCAGAGCCACTTAAAAATGTCTTCCCTCAAACTCAAGTAATAGAAAAGAAGCCCAAAACACAAAACTCCCTGCCATCAAGTAGGGTCTAACTCCCAGTTACCCTCCCATCAGGTCTAGGGCCAAAAATGGTTATGAGAAGAGCCTTCCTCCTCATCGCTCTCCGGAGGAACTGCTGATGGATTCGAACCACTAAACATTCAGTTAGACGTCCAACAAGCAATGCACTAGGTCACTAAGGATCCTTTAAAATGATAGAATGTAACAACCAAACAAAAAACCCCTCCAAACAACAGACCAACCCCAAATCCAAGCCCCTTGCCATTGAATTGATTCTGAGGCTACAGAACAGAGTGGAACTGCCCCCATAGGGACCCCAAAGCTCTAGACTCTTTCCAGACGCAGATAACCACGTTTACCCCACAGAGCTGCAAATGGGTTCGAACCACCGACTTTCCACTTAGTGGCTGAACACTCTAACCACCATACCACCAGGACTCTTTAACCAAAGCTTTAAAAAAAAATTAAAAAATCAAACACACTGCCCCTGTGTCAACTCTGACTCAGAACGATGCCCTTCCAGGTTTCTAAGGCTGTAAATACTATGGGGGGCTGGGGGAAAATGGATGCTTCTTCTTTCTCCCAAAGAGAAACTGGTGAATTCTAAGTTGTGAGCAGGCCAACACACAGCCCCCTGCACCACCTGGCCTTTATAGAAAATGAAGAAAGGCGCAAAGCAGATCCCTTGTCTTGAAAAGAAGAAAATGCAAAAATACAAAACCTAGAGCCACAATTATGAAGAAAAATGGTTGATTTTGCATCAACTCTGACTCCTCAGATCCCACCCCACCTGGAACCCGGATTTAGAAGCCCTTTCCGCCAACAACAGACAACCACAAAGACACCCCCCCCACCACCACCAAGGCTCGCACTCACCCGCTCGGGGCTGACGTCCAGTGCGTCACAGACCAAGCCGGCAAAGTGCTTGGACCTCTCAAAGCTCCTCTTCCCGACGCTGTGAGAGCCGTCCAGCAGAAAGAGGACGTCCAGCGCAGCGGAGCACTGCATCACTAGGAGAGAGGGGGGCAAACGGGTGATGCTGGCGTCCCTGCAGCCTGGTCACAGGTGGGCCTCGCTCACAAAGCAGAGGGAAGGCAGAAATGAGCCTGTGACGGGAGGAGCTGTGACTCCCCAAGAGACAACAGGATGAGCTGTAGCCCTCTGCCAAAAGTGACGGGAGGAGCTGTGACTCCCCAGGAGACACCAGGATGAGCTGTAGCCCTCTGCCAAAAAGAGAAGTTCACACCCACCATAGCCAGGAGACACACACACACACACACACACACACACACACACCAGAAAAGAGAAGCTCACACCCACCATCGCCAGGACACACACACACACACGCCCTCTGCCGAAAAGAGAAGCTCACACCCACCATAGCCAGGACACACGCACACACACACTCTGAGGGAAAGTCCCGGCCACAGCGGCCCTCTGCAGAGGAGAGATGCTCACACCCACCGCAGCCAGGACAGACATACACACACACACGCGCACCCTTACAGCCAGGACACACACACATCTACCCCCCTCTGTGTCTCCATGATGATGGGAAAATCCAATTCAACAACACTCACTGAGCTTCCTTGAGGGAAAGGGTCTCCTGGGCCAGGAAGGGACACTGAAGGACCAGGGTCTTGGCCTTGCGGAGACACATTCTAGTCAGGGGCCCACTAAGGCATCTTGCTATGTGAGGAAATGTTACCCAAGAGTTCAGGTGCCTACATTTATGGCAGAGATCGCCATTGTTCGTGTTAACTTATTAATTCCCATAACCACGCTAGGAGAAAGGTCACTGTTTGGTTTCCACTCAGCAGGTGAGGAAAGTGGGGTGTGCAGGAATGAAATTCTTTTCCTGAGGCCGAAGTGCCAGGATGTAGGGGAGCCGAGAATCCAGCACAGCTTGTCTGACTCCAGAGAATACACTCCTACCACCTTGTTATGGAAATTCAAGGAAGGGACAATTCCAGAAAGGAAAGAACAAGTGTTCAGGCCGAGGAAGGGGTCACAGGACGGAATAATGGCCATGAGGAAGAACAAGCAATAATATGGCGGGAGACGAGACCAGTAGGGTCGATGGGGATCACGTAACAGAAGACCTTGAAGTTCAGGCCAAGAAATGTGGCACCAGGAATTTGTACCTGTGACTGGACAGGGTTTGTTTCGGGGATTGACTATGGCCCTGTGGAAGGAAGGAGGAGGGGCAGAATGTGTCTGGGTACCAGGTTCCCTTGGGTCTGCCCTGAGGAAGCGGAAATGGGTGCTTGGAGGCAGGACCAAGTGGAACAGGCACTTACTTTTGCTGGCAGCCGAAATCCTCCCAACGGTCTCCAGGTTAACATGGACTTCCTGAAGAGGGAGGACGGGAGGTACTGGAGGGGAAAACACCAGAAGCAGTCAGTCCAAGGCAGAGCAGGGAAGAGTCTTATTCTCCACATTATGTGACTCCCATAATGAACCGGAAACAAGAATGTGAAGGAGTTTACTTGTATCTCAAAAATTAACAGAGAGACAGCAGAAACAAATCCCCTCCTCTCTCAAAGTCATTTGTACTGCAAGTTGGGTATCTTGAAAAGTGACAAACACATAGAAGAACTAGAGATTGAGATTCTGCTAGACTTCAGCCTTTGTTAGACATAAAAACTACGTCCCTTTTTGGGGTACAGTTGTCTGCACTACCTCCAGGCACACCCCAGGAAGCCTCCCTTAACCCTCTCCCCCATTGAAACACCAGACTGCCATAAATATTAACACTGGTTGTGAAAAAATGCAGAGCAGAATGAAATTTCACATAAAAAACACAAAAATCCAATTTCTGTGCTGTCAAAGTGCCGAAGTGCTGCTGCTCAAACAGTGAGTGAAATGTTCGGGATCAAATGTGAAACAAATTATGAAATTGGGGGAAAATTCATTTAGAAGATCTCTGTTTCCAGTCTGGGCAGTATAGATGGGGAGAATCCTCTTACAAAGCAAGGTGGGCTAGGCAACTGAGGGTCATGACCAAGTTCACACACTCTTTGTGGGAACCTGACTGGTGAAGGAGTCAGAGAAGGGTAAGCATACACCAAGACACTCTCTTCAATGCTATTTGTAATAGTAAAATGCTAGAACTAAGTCCACAAAGAGGTAAGGGTCTGAGCAAACATGAACATATTTGTTCCAGGCAATTAAGAAGAATGGGGCTGTAAAGTGTTGGGGTAAGAAGTTTCTGGGTAACTTTTTCTTTTTGATGCCTGGTAAAATGGCAATCATAGTCTATGAACAATTAAGAACAACTTTAAAAAGACACTTTGAGGCTAAGGGAACAGGCTAAGAAAGCCACTCAGCTTGATTCATTGCCATCGGGTCAGTATTGCTCGTAACAGACCCTCCAGCAGGTTTTCAGAGACTGTATATTGCACGGGAAATTTGCAGAGCAGCTAGTGGATTGAATCTGCCCGAGATGCAGGACTTCTGAAGAGGCAAGGAGGGCTCCCCAAGGACACCACAGAGGGGACCGATCTTAGTGTCTTGCAGACAACAATGGTGTCACCCAGGAGGTATGTTTGGAAAAGTCAACACCCCCTTGCACCTGCACTTGGCAGACTGCAGCAAGAGACAGAGCCCCACATGTGCTGATACCAGAAAGCAGCGAGCCAGCCAGCTGAGCAAAGCCAAGAGCAGGAAGGCCCCACAGAGAAAAGGCTGAGGAATGAAGGCGACCAGGACAAGTTGCTGGGGAGATGGTTAAAGGAGAGGGAGCTGGAGAAAAGCAGAAATCACACGGTGCAGGGAGGCTGGGCTCACAGGATGTGCAGATACCAATAAAAGAACTGCAGGCGATGCAGAAAGATGTCTAGTTCTGGAGTGCTGGGGTGCCCGCTGGAGACTGTTATTGGGCAAGATGTCAACTCAGCTCCCTTGGGCTGGTCCCAGGCTCCTTCTAGCACTAACCCCTATGCTATTGCTGTTATGTGCCCTCAAGCTGACTTAAGTCGACTACAGTTCCTAGCGACCCTACGAACAATGGCTCTGAACCCTGCCCGATCCTGAGACAAGCTCCCTGACACAGTGACACACCTGATTCCATTGCCACAGTCACTGTGTCAATTCTGTCCATCCGGGGCCTTCCACACTCCCCTTCACTCCCTGCTCCACACTCACTCTGAGCTGTCCCACACTTTGACGCTGGAGCTCACCTGACAAGCCCTGCCTTCTGTCGCCATCTAGTCAGCAGGCTGAACAAGCAATTAGTCAACGAGCAATTAGTGCCACATAGCTTGCACAGTCCACCTGCGCTGTTTTACTACTAGAGGCAGAAACAAGAAACAAACTACAACACAGAGAACAGTAGACTAATTAAAGGGGAAAAAGATCTTCCGTGCACGTGGTGGGGAAATGGCAGATGGCGGAGGAGTGGCTGGAGCAATACTTCATAAAAACAAGCACAAAGACCAGTACTTCTGCAAACGGCTGGTCTTCTAGAAAATTCCGCATGGAACATTCAGAGACCATCAAGCTCCTGCCCTCACTCATATGGCCAAGTTATGCTCCGTCCCGTCATGCAGTGCTTTCCCACAAGCCCCTCGTCCCTGACCCTGATGGGGGCAGGAGGAACTTCCACCCCATCCTTGAAAGAGCCTCGTCCAGCTTTCTGCACACAGCATGCAGACACTAAAGTTTCCCAAACTGAGTCCATGAATTAATGGGAAATAGCCTACCACTCAAGACCTTCCCAAAGCCCTGTAAACACAGAAAAATACTTTTGTTTTTTTATGTCGCACCAGCTGGAGAATGGAGGGACAGTGAAGGAGAGGAAGACCCCCAACCAGGTGGACTGACACAGTGATGGCAGCAATGGACTCTGGTGTGTCGGGGATTGCGAGGACGGCACGGGATAGGACAGGGCTCAGATCTGCTGTTCAGAATCACTGTGACTTCTACTCTAAAGACATCTGCTAGGGGTTTTGGGGGCTTTCAGCTAAGATTTATGCTAATGAACACGCTGAGTTGCAAATTATTCAAACCCTCTCACTTTACAGAGCGGAAGGTGAAGACTTCCTTTGCTCCCAAGAGGAGGCTGGAGCTGTGATAGCCGCCTATGTGAGACGAGGATTTTAGTTCTACCTGGTGGCCTATTGATAAGAAGCTGCAATCTCAAAGGCACAAGGTTCAAATCCACCAGCTGCTCTGGGGGAAAAGCATGGGCAAGCTCCCCTGAACGATTTATTGCAGGTACCCAGGGTTATGCGAAGTTTCAATATGATATCTGATCTTACCTGGAGATCCAAATAATTCAGGATAACTATGGTGGGAAGGACCAAGGACACTGGGCAGGACAGAAGGGGGTGTGGGGCTGTAGCACAAAGGGATGGAGGAGAGGGGGACACAAGAGGGGGAACAGCTTGGCCCTGGGGTCAGATTTGGGACGGCCCAGCATGAGATCACTGTTTTAGGGGAGAAGTAGGGATGGGGAGGGTCCTGCCATGACCAGGTGTGCATTTTGAAACGTGTAGTGTTGGAGCGAACCAGGTGGTCCCAGAGAGGCAGATCAGGAGGCGACTGCAATCATCCCAGCATGAGACAATGAGAGCTCTGGATAGGGAGGCAGCTGGGGTGTGGAGAGGAGGAGATGGGTTCAGAAGACCCTTAGAAGTTCAAATCAACAGGATTTGAAGCAAATCAACCCACCCTCAACACTCTGCCCCTCATCAGAAAAACAGCTTACCTGTAAAAAACAGGAAAATACAGACAGCTCTCAGCAACAGGAAGGAGTGCATGTTGAACTCACTGTAGCACCAGGGACATAAAAGCAGTGACAATTAGTTACGTGAACTCTGCCAGGAGGACAGCTCCTCGGCCTTCTAGGACACAGGCACACCTCGGAGACTGCGAGCTCGGGCCCAGATCCCTGCAGTAAAGCGAATGGTGCAGTGGAGCAAGTCACGTGCATGGTGAGGGGCTTCCCGGAGCACAACAAAGTGATGCTTACACTGTCCTGAAGCCTAGTGAGTGTGCAACAGCGTTATGAAAAATATTTAATAATGCAAGAATTCCCAAAATGTGACAGAGAGCGAGTGAACACATGCCGCTGGGGTGAGGGGGGAGAGAATGGCACAACAGACTTTAATTTGATGCAGGGTTACCACGAAAATTTAAGGAAAACAACAAAAGGAGGGGGGAACCCACACTATCTACAAAGCTCAGGAAAGTGAAAACGAGGTGTGTCCGCATGATCCTAGTGGGGTCTCCTCAACATCGCTATCTATGTATCTGCTGCAACACTGCATGGAAGGGTTTATAAATAAATAGGTTAAACAGCAACAGCCTTCTCAGAATTACCAGCTCTCAGCCCTAAAGCTACACCAGATTCTCATGACTCTGGGAAGGTGCGATGGTTCTAGCCCTGCCTGGCCCGTGATGACCTCAGGTCAACTCCGTCCCTTCTCTGGTTCTCTAACCTCCTCTGAACAATAAAGATTAGATTTTCCAGTGTCCTCATTTCCTTTTCCTTGTACTGTGGGTTGGGTGAATGTTTACAGAGCAAATGAGTTTTCCATTCAACCATGTGTACATATTTTGTTTACTGCATCAGTTACAACCCCTCCTCCCTATAAAGCTGCCCTCTTCTCACTTCCCTCCTAGAGCTTTCCTTTCTATTCAGCCATCTTTCCTACACTTCCTCCAAATCTGAGTTTTGCTTCCTGGCAAATGGTTCCCCAGTACTCTCATTGTCTCAAACCTTCTGGTAAGGTTTTCCTTGCCTAGACCAAGAAAACAGAATTCTGGGAAACCCTATTTGTTTTCCAAATTACTTACAAACAGTTATACGTATGGCCGATTTAAAAAGTAAAGGTATTTTCCACTCCATGATGCCTGAATAAATTTTGAGGGATTTTTTTAAGGTCAGAAAGTGGATGCTTTCAGTAAAAGCTACAGCCTTTAACAGTGATCCCATAAGGACACGGTTATGGATTGAACTGTGTGTCCTCCGTGTGTTGGCACCCTATTAACGCCATTGGGGAACAGGGTTTTATGACGTTCATGAAGCCACACACCCTAACCCTAATCACCTCTAGTCATAAGAAGAGTTGATGAGACACAGGAGTAAGCGCAACGGGGAAAGAAAGATGTCACAGGGAACTGAAGACACCAGGACTGGAGAAAATGTGTAGAGAACCTTCTCCTTTGGTTGTTAGAGTGAGAACCTTCTAGATCCAATGGCTCAAATTCAGATCTACAGCCATTAAAGTGTGAGCAAGGGAGCTCTGGTGGCCTAGTAACTCTCAATCTGGGAGGCACAAGGTTCAAATCCACCAGGTACCAGCTGTTCCATGGGAGAAGGATAGGCAATTTTCTCCCATGGGATTAAGTGCCTCTGAAAACCCACTGGAGGGTCAGCTCCTCAAAGGCACACAACAACAACAGCGTGAGGAAGGAAGCTCTGGTGGGGCAGGCCGTAGAGAACTGCGCTGCTCCCCCAAAGGAGGCACGACTCTGGTGGTTCAAATCCACCAGCTGCTCTGAGGCAGGAAGATGAGCTATTTCCTCCCATACGGTTTACAGCCTTCCCACAGCTACCGAAGGGTCAGCTATGATTGGTCCCAACTCTATATGACAACAAGGGGTTTTGTAAACTGTGAGAAAAGAAACTCTGGTTTTCCAAAGATGACCATACATGGCTTTTCTGTGAGCAGAAGTGCTAGGAAATGGACCCTTTCTCTTATTATGGTTGTTGTTAAGTGCCATCAAGTCTTAGACGACTCACAAAGACCCTATGAATGAATGACCTAAACATCTTTTATTACACCTCACATATATCTCAGTCATACATCTTCAAGGATATGAACATGTACGGCTAAGCACAATTGATAA